TGCTGCTCATAATCCTATCCACTGCTCTCAGTCACACAACTTTCTAACTTCGTTTATACATGAGTAAAAATTGATGATTAGACATTTAAATAAGAAATAAGAACAAATTAGTTCAGCGAAGAGTCTCTTTTCGGCGAGGTATAGGTCGTTCGTGCGAGTTTTATCTAAAAGAGTTCAAGAACACTATCCGCCTGGCTACGGAAAGGTAACAATGGAGCAATAAGGAGCGCCATTATTGAGCATATACTCAACACTGGTCATTCGATTTGCAAGGAGAAGTCATTCAAAGTCATCTATAAAGTCAAAAGAAGCCTTCCAAAAACGACAAGCTTCCGATACTTTGTATTGCTGAAGCCTTAGCAATTTGGATAGAAAGCCTGAATTATGCACAGAAGAAACTTCTCCACCCCCTCCTACTACCGTGGGTTTAATTTCAAGTTCATCTGTCATCAACATTTTGTTATCAAATTTTTTTTCCAATATTCGTTAAATAATTTTTAGTAACTAACCCATTCAATCTTTTCACCTATTATCTAGTTTATTTTCGTAATTGTCTCCATACTCCTTCACGAACATCTAATCTTTCTAAACATGTCTATATTACGTAACCCTACTCACATCTTACCAATTTTCACCCACTTAATTACAACTTTGATTACTATTCACACAATTTAATTTCTTTATTATTTTGATGATGTAATCAACAACCACACTAACTGTCATTTTGATTTTGACAAACCTTATGTACACACACACAAAATTAATTGTATATATTTGCGACTGTACAGCTAAGAGAATGAATTCGCCGAAAAGAGACTCTTCGCTGAACTAATTTGTTCTTATTTCTTATTTCAATGTCTAAATGGGTATTTTTCGCGGATTAGACATTTGAATAAAAATCAGTATAAGATAATGTACATTCAGAAATAATATTACTAGTGTCATCAATAAAATACAGTCATATGGGAAATATGACGAGTGTTTTTATAGTCAAAATAAATAAATAACTTGTTATAATGTTATAACATAATTTATCATCCTCTATGAGTCGGTGGCACAGAGGATAATGTTCACCGAGTACGCAAGGGGTTCGGGGTTCGATCCCCAGCCACCGACTCACTCCTTTATCTCTTTAAGCAGTAGTAAGACCCAAGGGCGGGTGTACTGCTCATCAGTCCGCTCCGTCCTCCTTTATGGTTGTGAGACCTGGCCACTCAGAGTGGAAGACATGAAAAGGCTAGCTGTCTTTGATCATAGGTGCCTGCGTTCTATTTCCCGTGTAAAGTGGTATAATAAGGTGAGCAACATTGAGGTTAGGCGTAGAGTTCTAGGTAAACAGGGGAAATCAATCGACGAAGTCGTGAAGTTACAAAGACTGAGATGGTTAGGACATGTGTTACGTTTGCCAAGCCATCGCCTCCCTCGACGAGCAATGTTAGCGGATATAGGGTCAGGCTGGAAAAGAGCTAGCGGCGGTCAAACAAAAACATGGCCTCACCAGTCAATGAAATCCACAATAGTTGGTCTAAGCCATGTAGGAAGGTGTAGACTTCCTGACTGGTTGGGGTCCTCGGGACGGTAAAAATCTATGGTTGGAAACAATTGGTGACATGGCTCAAAGTTGTTCTCAATGGCTGGCTGGCCCAGATGCATCCACTCCTTGTGACTTATGATCTCCAATGAAACTGTTTTGTTCTATTACTCCTCCTTTGTCTCACACCTCTGCTCACTGTCTCTATTATGCTTTTCTTGTACTTTCTTCTCTTGCTTCGCGTGCTACACGGAGTGTGGCGACTTGAACTGGTGCACATTTGTGCAAAGTTCTATGTCGAAAACAGACAGACAGACAGACAGTAAGACCCAACCTCTCGCCTCATGGTCTACGAGTACGACTTTTACATGCACACATCAGAGACAAGCGGAATTCATCTGAACAAGCCAAATCTGTTGGTATGTTAAAAGCCATTTGTACAACCCTTTGATCTTTGCTATAGCCAAGTACATAATATGTACTAAGTTTTTAAGTACGATTTCTCCCCTCCTCTTGAAAGCATCTTCTGACTTTGTTAATTTTTACAATTTTTTACAATTCTAGCTAATTCTATTAACTCGTTTTGTATTTTACGTAAGTCTTCTGAGTCATCATCCTATTCTTCGTAGTCATCATTACTATTTTACAAATTCCTTGATTATGTAATAACTTGTTGCCGACGCCTAAGAAAATCAACTTATCTTGAATTCCGTAATTAATTTGCATCCGTCGCTCCTTGAAAACTTAAATATCTTGTTACTAACATCTATGAGTTATTTGTTTTGATGACCTCTATAACCTCTTGATTTCACCCCCGCCTATACCTAAAACCCGATTAACTGAAATAACCGCGAGGTTGGTAAAATAATTTTGATGTAAAAAACCATATATAAGTGTAGAGCCATCCGATGATGAAGAACTAACTGAAAAGAAATGCGTATTTCTTCGCTTAATCTGTTGTTTTTTTTCTAAAAAGGTGAACTCTCCATCTTATTAAGTGAAAAGGCAATAAACCACCTTAATGTATGTGCAAAACTTGGGCACTGTGGTAGTAAGTAACTCCATATTAGTTTCTTTATTAGATGTATCACACAGTGAAACAGTATTATTATTTGCTGGATGACGTTTCGAACAATATTTATTGTTCATTATCATGTCATCAATTATAATCACATGACTTCGAAACTTGAGTTTTATAGTTTTCTTTGTCCCCTCCTATATGTCGTCGTCGGGGTAGTAGAATTTTCCAGATATCTGGGTGGACAGGTGTTGAATCATTCTTATTACATGTATTCTCTACCAGTTGATTCGACAAACAAAGCTTCTGTTATCAATCTGTCCCTCCACCCTGTGACATTAAATTTTAGCGCTGTCATCTAATCCCATCCAACGTATTGTATGGTTGTGTGTAATTGCATATGGTGAGTACTATGGCTGAACTAATCTCTACATTTCTTATCTTATTTGGGTCAACCAATATAGATTTTGCTGCTAGGTTTTTATGTTCGGCTAGTCTGACTGCCTCTGTTCTACTACTTTGACGTATGTATTTGACCTGATAATCATTCCAAAAGGGTATTAGATAAACTAAATTGTTTAGTTTTAGAGGCTCCATTGGCAGGATCCTCTAACCGACAAAGCTTGTTTCTAATTGAGTTTGTGTTTGGTTTGAATGCCAGCCACTTTTGTTCCTGACTTGTTAAGAATTCTGTGTAAGGTTCCCGAGGTTCCTTCCTTGTATAGAATTACTACTGGTGATAGTGATAATAATAATAATAATAATAATAATAGCAATAATAATAGTAATAGTGATAATAATAATGACGACACCAGCAATACGGAATCTAAATCATCAGTAGTAATTCCATACAAGGAAGGAATCTAGGGAACCTTACACAGAATTCTTAACAAGTCAGGAACAAAAGTGGCTGGCATTCAAACCAAACACAAACTCAATTAGAAACAAGCTTTGTCGGTTAAAGGATCCTGCCAGTGGAGCCTCTAAAACAAAACAATTCAGTTTATCTAATACCCTGTCTGCGATCATTTTCAGGTCAAAGTAGTAGAACAGAGGCAGTCAGACTAGCTGAACATAAAAACCTAGCAGCAAAATCTATATTGGTTGACCCAAATAAGATAAGAAATGTAGAGATAGTTCAGCTATAGCACTCACTACATGCAGTTACACACAACCATACAATACGTTGGATGGGATTAGATGACAGTGCTAAAATTTAATGTCACAGGGTGGAGGGACAGATTGATAACAGAAGCTTTGTTTATCGAATCAACTGGTAGAGAATACATGTAATAAGAATGATTCAACACCTGTCCACCCAGATATCTGGAAAATTCTACTACCCCGACGACGACAAATAGGAGGGGACAAAGAAAACTATAAAACTCAAGTTTCGAAGTCGTGTGATTATAATTGATTGGTATGATTATGAACAGCAATAAATTTTGTTCGAAACGTCATCCAGTAAATGATACTGTTTAGTCGCTGTGTGATACATCTAATAAACAAGCTAATATGGAATCACTAAACGACCACTCACATCACTGGGACACCAATCACAAACACACTGAAGCAGCGGCTGTCATGATGTCACACTAACAACAATATCCAAAGCGCTATTTGCAATGGGAACCAATCTCCCTCCTACAGGACAGCGACAGTATGACGCGACTCAATAAGAAGAAAAGTTACAACTATTTAAAAGCTACGCTGACTGACTGACTGCTTTCAACACATAACTTTGCACCGATGCACAGCAGTTCAAGTCGCAAAATGCAAAATAAAAACAGTAACGGGGGATAAAAGGCAAAAAGAATAGTAACATCAAAGAACAATATAGTTTTATTGGAAATTATAAGTCACAAGGAGTGGATGCATCTGCACAACCCAGCCATTGACAACGATCACATTGAGCCATATCACCAATTGTCTCCAGTCTTCATTGATGTTTACCGTCATCCTGAGGACCCCAACCAGTCAGGAAGCCAGTCTACACCTCCCTATGTGGCTGGCTTAAACTATTTGTTGTGGATTTCATCGAATGATGAAGCCCTGCTTTGGTTTGACCACCACTAGCTAACTCTTTTTCAACGTGATCCATCCTATGTCAGCTAACATTTCCCATCAGTCGAGGAAGCCGATGTTCCAACCAGCTCAGTTCATGTAGCTTCATAGTCTCGTTTATTAATTTCCCCCTCTTCACCTAACTACCACTCGACCGACGCCTAACCTCAACATTACTCACGCTATCATACCACTTCACACGAGAGACAGAACGCAGGCACCTATGATCAAATACAGCTAGCCGGACTTTTCATATCTTCAACTCTCAATGGCCACGTCTCACAGCCATAAGGGAGGACGAAGCGAACTGCTGAGCAGTACACACACCCGCCCCACCCCAGAAAAAAAAAGAAAACAATAAACATTATTTAACAATCATAAACGAACCTGTAGTGATTGTTGGTGCTTTCAAATATTTAATTAAACCATTCCCTTGATCGATATAATTATTGTTACTATGGATACCTGTACTATTATTGTTATTATGAATATGACTATTATTATTATGATGATTCCGATGTCCTGTTGACGTGGATGGACTACATGAAGTTGATGCAGTCGCTGAAGTATTCATTGTTGTATACTGTGAACAATAACGTGGATGCGGCTTTAATAGAATTTCTATTTCAGGATAAACAGATGGGGATGATGTAGAATTATTACTATTACTATTATTATGATTGTGTAATGTGCTATTCTGTAAATGATCACGATCAATACCAACAGAGCCATTCGTTGTAGTAGTAGTAGCAGTACCAGCAGCACCAGGAGTAGTATTCAACGCAACTGATGTAGGATTCCTGTGATGATGTACCACGGGTAAATCAGAAATGGAACTATTTTCACCAATTGAATTTGTATCCATTCCACTTTCTGTATCAGAATTATTAATGATTTGATTATTAGCATGTAGAGATGTGGGGATAATACGCCTTCCTGAACAATTTTCATTATTAACAAACTAGAAATATGGGAAGAAATTAATAGAAAAACAGTGAAAACGACATTACACACGCACACACACACACAGTATCGTATTATTTGATTGATTGGACGATTTCATCATGAGCTGAACAGCTGGGAGTACTGTGGAAAGCTGTTTCATCCAACTGGTTTAGGACTCTTTAGCAGTATGTACCCACAATCAGGGTTAGAACCCAGGACCTTCCGGTTACAAGGAGAGCCACTGGGACCCACCAATCCAATGACCATCTCCCATGAATTCTAACTTCTACCAATTCATGACATAGTGTGACCACTTCGTAATGTCTTCTTTTTCGATGAGTTACTGCCTCACCTTCAACCTGTTGTACCCTACTGGTCACGGCTTCCGACTAGAACCAGCCCAGGTTAACTGCCTACCTGAATAAGGCCAGTCGCTAGTGAGCATCAGATTAATTTTCAAGTATTGATTTTGTAGGGATTGCTTTTGTTTGATTGGTTGGAGGAGTTCAGGAGTACTGAACAGCTGTTTCGTCAGCCTAGTTTGGGACTCTTCATCAGTACACACCCACCTCCAACCAATCAAAAAAAATTCCTACAAAACCAATACTTGAAAATATCTCATTATTTAACCGAAATCAATTATCATCTCTCCTCCAGTGGGGTCAGGAATGCATACTGCTAAGGAATCCCTAAAAACTAGGCTCAACCTATAGCTATTACCCTGAAGTAGTGGTCGGCCTCGGTGAAATACACTGACTCGAACTAATGTTAGAAAGGTTCTCTGGATACCGATTAGACTAAAAGCAGTTACCAGCATAGTCTAAGATTTCTTTTACACTATGTTGGAGGTCTGTGCTTGAAGTCATACTCCTAGGGAATAGGGGTGTAAAAGCAGTAAGTGTTCCCCCCCCCAGACGACCATTAAGCCAATTATCCTGTCTCTCTATTCCGGAGAAGATGGAGGTTGGAAAAGGTTGACTACGAAAAATGTGCATCCCGCCGACTTAGTCTGCGGCGATTTCGTAGCCGGCAGTAAGTTCCTAATACAGACATGACCCCCCCCCCTCCAAAAAAATCCACTTCAAAGAGGTTGTGTATGACCCGTCTTGAGCAGTTGTCCACTGCGTTTTGAGGTTATACAACATTAATACTCTTTCAGTTTTAAGTATCCTAAGAAAAGTCACCTTCCATGGGGTGTGGACGACTGGGGGAGTAACAACCACCCCCACACACTTCCAAAAGCATACAAAGGACATCTATACACACACTAGGAAGAAACAATCGTCGAGTAGTCTTTTCTGCTACAAGAATAATAACATGAGAAAACATGACATTAGGCGGATATTTGGGGTATCACAGAGAGTAAATGCAACTGTGTCAACTGACAACGATTTTTGTGCTATATCATCACCAATAGTCTCGAGCCATTGATTCTTAGCATCTTGAGGACACCCCTCCCCACCAACCACACAGCCTATACTTCCACACGTGGTTAACTCAAACTAACGCTCAAAGACTTCATGGATTGATGCCACGTCTTGGTTTGAGAAACTCTAACTCTTTGTCAACTTAATTCTATGTCAGCTAACATTGCCCATGGAGGAAAGTGATGGTTTTGGCAAGCGCAACACGTGTCCTAGCCATCTCAATCGATATAACTTCACAACCTCATCAATGGACTTACTTCCTGCCTATCTAACACTACGCCTAACTTCAATACTACTATTTACCATACTATACCTCTTAACACGGGAGATAGAATGCGAACACCTGTGGCCAGTCATTTCATATCTTCCACTTTCAATGGTCATGTCTCACAGTCATAATGGAGTGCACAGTGAAGTGTACATATTTTATCATCTGCGCCAGAGATGACATAAATCTGCAAATGCTGCACTAGCTTATTTTCACCCGTGCTGAGATTTCGTCAGTAACTACTCCGTTGGGGGGGGGGGGACTCAACTTCTCCAGTATGTGAAGTGATCAACACGCCCTACCAATTCACTCCCTATCCAGAGTTGGTGAAATCCAGTGCTGCAGTATCATTGTATGCCAGACATTCAAAGATTTCTGCCCAAAATTTGCATCTTATCAGCGTCTTTACCTAGAAGGACAATAATCATCCTTAAATTTCTCCAAACAAACAAAAGGGAATAGGTAAAAACCCGAAAAACAGAACAACACACAATGACAAAATAAGAATACTTACACTTGATGACGTCTCTTCCTCACTAATTGCAACATCTGTATGTCCGCTTCATTTGTTCCACTATGACCAGTAACAGTAGCAGAGGCAGTAGAATGATTCATATCATTTGAAGGATTCCCGCTAACTGATGATGATGATGCTGCTGAGGTATGCTGTGTACGTCCAGAGTGACTTGTACTTCTTCCTCGACCACCACCGCTGCCGCTGGTTGTATTAGCCGCTGATGAATTACCATTTATGCCTAATTGTTGTTCAAGAGAACGTGTTAATGCAGCGCTTAAATGCTGTCGATTTAAACGTGCCAAAATTTTATCCTGATGTGCTTCATACTCCTATGAGAGACAGGGAGAGACACAGAGAGAGAGAGAGAAGCAGAGGGTAACAAGAAGTATGTATGTATACCTTAACAGAAACGTCATCCTCTAAAATTCAAAACTTTTAGTGATGAAATAATAACAATAATAATCATATACAACAAATTCGACGGGGAAAATTTCTCTATGACGCCACATACTACTGATTAACTTATTGATAGGACTGATTTAAGTAGGCTGCCACATATAGGTTTATTCTTCAAATTAATGAGACATTAAATTGCAAAGAAAGGAAGACAGAAATGAAGACTTAACAAGTTTTTGCCAGTATTTATTATCATTATTATTGTTCCCTTGGGTTCCTAGTGAAACATAGGGCTTCAACTGCACGTCTCCACTTACCGCTTCTGTCTCCTGCTGTACTTTTCACCTGCATCCATGTTAATCCATACTCTTTCAACTCCTCTTCACACGATCTCCTCCATGTCACTCTTGCACTGACGTCCCACTCGCCGATTCCCTTTCGGCCTGGTTCCACTCGAGGGCCGGATGCGCGCACGATGTCACCCAGTGGCCACCTCAGCGAGCGAGTGTCCAATCCATCTCCACTTTCTCCTGCATATTCGTTGGTTGGCGATTCCTTCTTGTTTTGTTTGTTCCCATAGTTTCTTGTTGGTGATTCTTTCCGGCCCGGCCATCTGATTTTCAGTATAGAGAGAAGACAGTTATTGTTGATAAAGGTCTGCAACAGGCTGTTGGAAATATTATTTGTGACTCTCCCGCCAAGTTTCTGATCTGTATAGAAGAGCTGACTGACTTGACGTTGTTTGTATTGAAAATCCGACCGAATTTTGTTGTTGATGCTGGCTGAGTGACGAAGATTTCCAGATTAGATTGGTTTCAGGTTGATGATGTTGGTGTGTTTCTCGCCTTCCCGATTCTCGCTCGATTTGAGATCCTCGTCCGTTCCGACTGCCTGTAGTTGAGACAATGCTCCCTAGATCAGTGAGTGAATGAAGTAACCTCTTTCAAATCCCTCCGTTGATGGTGATTGGCGCTGGATGCTGCTGATGTTGTCGTTGTTGTTGGTTGGTTATTTTCATAACCTCCGTCTTGTCTATGTTCACCTGGAGTCCTGTCTTCGCTGGCTGCTTCTTCGACCAGTTTGTCCGTTTTCGCTTGTAAGTCTTCGATTTTGTGTGACATCAAACATAACTCATCCATGCGCGAAATCCAGGTTTTTTATGTTCTTCGCGTCGGTCCAGGATATTCCTGTCTTCTCGTTTCCCACTGTCTGACGCATAATCCAGTCCACCACAATTAGGAATATCATTGGTGATAATAAGCACCCTTATCTGATTCCTGTGTTTACTCGAAACGCCTCTGTGAGTTTTCCGTTGTCTATCACTTGACATGTGCCGTTGTCATACAGCTTTTGAATAAGGTTGATGAATATTTGGGGTATACTGTAATACTCGAGTAGTTTCCAAAGTACTTCGCGGTCAACGCTGTCAAAGGCATTCTCAAATTTTTTGCCAATGATAAGATCATAAAGGTAGTAATGATACTGAGTGGTGTTCAACAACTGATAAAAAGCAGTACTAGATAGCACTATATGCTCATGCTTGCTGTTTTAACTGCCGCGTATGCGATCAAGCACAGCACATATTGCGATCTGAAGAATTTCGGTCTTTAAAAGAAATTGACGTCAAATTTAACCTCTTTGAACTGTGTAAATTGGAAAATCCCACATTAATTTGAAATATTGAGAATTTTAACTAAACGTATTACAAGTTTAATTGAATTCTAGATTTCCCATCGATTGATTGGACCGAAGTGCTCCTCGGTCTCAGGTTGATATGTCGGCTTCTTCTTGTGCAGATACTTCGACAATGTCTGGGCATGTAATTAGAAGAAGCTGACATGTCAACCCGAGACCGAGGAGCACTTTGGTCCAAACAATCGGCAGGAAAATCTAAAATTCAATTAAATCATTAATTAATATGACCCGTTGCACAAGAAGCAGTGGCTCTCATGGCTCAAGTGGTCTAGTGGATAACGCTTTGACATTTGAAACCATGGGCACTGGATGCGAGCCTCAGTGCAAGGAATATCACCACTCACTGGGGAATGCAGGCACATCCAGATGGTGAGTCCCAAAAAGGACGAAATGCGAATCCTGGATACCACTGCTAGTCATCATTGTCATCGTTTATTAAGTGGCTGGACGGAATCCGGGTAGTTTGAACTGATTCATCTGTCTAAGCTGAGTCGGACTGCACAACATTGCTGGTTGTGGAGAGATGTAGTTCATTGGCTTAATCATTCGACCTTCAGTCGGAGGGGGGCGGTACTTGGCTAGAGTCCAACAGCCCCATTATCTACTCCAACCTGGACAACTGGGTAGTATCATTACCTGACCGATAGCTGCTACTTGATGTAGTGGTCGGGCTTGCACATCGCAATTACCCCACTAGCTACACTGGCTGGAACTATTGTTCCTGTAGGTCTTACCATGCCACGAAGGTTGTTAGGATAGCGATTAGACTAAAAGCAGTTACCGGCTTAGTGCAAGGATCATTTTTGTTTTACACTATGCTGGGGTTGTGTGGGCAAAATCGTACTGCTGGGGAACAGAGATGTAACAACAATAAGGTGTTTCCTTCAGATGACCAGCATGCCAGACACCCATACTGTCTCTCCACTATGGAGAGAGGGGATTAGAAAAGGTCGACCCCAAAAATTGTACATCCCGATTTACCCTACGGTGGTCCGTAACTGGCGGTAAGTTCATTAATACGGAACCCATCCCAGAAACCAGTTCATACAGGCCGCGTGTGACCGGCCTCAAGCAGTTGTCCCCTGGGCTCTGTGGTCACGCAACACTAACCCTCTTCACGTTTCAGGTACCCGAAGAATCAGACAGACAGACAGTGTCATTAACCCGTATACAACAAATATGACATATAGCCCAGTATTGGGTAATTGAGTAAAAACTAACTAATACTGCTGATTAAGTCCCCACTAAACGAACAAAATGGTCGTCCAGTGTTTAGATCAATTCGATGATCTGGTTGTGGTAGGCACAATACTCGTTGATGTGGATGGTATCCAACTACTTATATCAATCTGTCCGTAGTATATATCATTATGAGTTTATGCTTACTGTCTTGACTGCCACTTATGGTATCAAGCAAATTCACTGTACTCAGAACACAGAATATAGATAGATAGATTTTTCGAATACATAAACTCGAAGGCAGAGGCAATTCAATTCACTTATGAATTGGAAAGTCAGGATGGACTGGGAGCTTCCAATGTTAGATTACAAAGTAAAAAGGAAAGATGGAAAGTTAAACACACACTAGTGTATTTACAGGAAACCCACACATTCAAACAGATATTTGGACTTCCGATCATCCCATCCTATGTCAGTAAAAAAAAGGATTGGTGAAAATTTTAGGTGACAATAGGGCACAAAAACTAAGTAGTACCAAGGAAAACCTAAGACAAAGTGATACACATAAAAGAAACCTTGAAACTTAATAATCACCCGGATAAATTGGTCAAGAAATATGTAAGTAAATGTAAAAATAAAATAAATAATGATAATAGTGATAGTAATGATAATAATAATAATAACAATAATAATGATAATAATAATGGTAATAATAATATTAATGACGACACCAACAATAAGGAATCTAAATCATCAGTAGTAATTCCATACAAGGAAGGAACCTCGGAAGTCTTGCGCAGAATACTTAACAAGGCAGGAATAAAAGTGGCTGGCACAAAATCAACTACAAACAAGCTCTGTCGGTTAAAGTATCCTGCCAGTGGAGCCTCTAAAACAAAACAATTCAGTTTATCTAATACCCTGTCTGCAATGATTGTCAGGTCAAATACAGAGGTCAAACTAGTAGAACAGAGGCAGTCAGACTAGCTGAACATAAAAACCTAGCAGCAAAATCTATATTGGTTGACCCAAATAAGATAAGAAATGTAGAGATTAGTTCAGCCATAGTACTCACCATATGCAATTACACACAACCATACAATACGTTGGATGGGACAGGATGACAGTTTTAAAATCTAATGCAACAGGAGGGTGGAGGGAGAGATCGATAACAGAAGCTTTGTTTAACGAATCAACTGCAAATACATGTAATAGGAATGATTCAACACCCGTCCACCCAGATATCTGGAAAATTCCACTACCCCAACGATGACAAATAGGAGAAGACAAAGAAAACTATAAAACTCAAGTTTCAAAGTCATGTGATTATAATTGATGACATGATAATGAACAATAAATATTGTTCGAAACGTCATCCAGCAAATAATAATACTGTTTCACTGTGTGATACATCTAATAAAGAAACTAATATGGAGTTACTTACTACCACAGTGCCCAAGTTTTACACACATATATTAATATGGTATCAAGCACATCACACAAACATTGCGATCTGAATGGTTTCGGTTGCCCAAAGAAACTGCGATGAAATTTCACCTCCTCGAACTGTGTACAATACGAGTCGCGAATTTGAATTCTGCTTACTGACAAAGTCATCTTTAAAAGCTGTGTAATTGCACTGCAGTTTACTAAGGAAGCATAGGGTGTGCTGCAGTGGTTCAAGGGTAGAACACCTGCCAACCACGCCTCACGTGTCCCGGTGTTCGACCACTTGCTGACGCACTCCTAAACCTCACCTAGCCGATCGTAAGCCCGGTTAAAAAGGGAGGGTTGAGTGTGAGGTTAGCAACCTCAACGTGAGTAAGAACAACATCGCCAGTGAAAATTTAAAACTGAATCTTGAAGCCCTATTTTCCACTAGAAACGCAAAGGAATAAAATTAAAATGAATAAAAGACGTGGTTGAAAGTGACGCAGTAAATACAGTCACTCATAAATCGTTCCTAACCAGATATAAAGTAACTACGTAATAGTCAACAGCGTCGGTGGCACAGTAGTTAGGACGCTCGCCGACCATGCACATGGTGCTGGGTTCGATCCTCGGCCGACGCACTCCTTTACCTCGCCAAGCCAGAAATAATGCTGGTAAAGGGGAAAGGTTGGGCATGAGGCTAGCAACCCCATCCTGTAAAAACAAACACTGCTACAGAAACTTCAAACCACTAGCTTGAAGCCCTATGTTCCACTGGGAGCGTGAAGGAAAAAATTAATTAAAAAATTAATAGTCGATAACACAACGAAAGTAAGGGTTTATTACATGAGAACCAAGGTAGTAGAGTGTTCTTTTGACAAGTGTGAAAAAGGTGAAAGAGAGGAAAAGACAGTCAATAAAACGTGTAAAGGGGATACACGTATGAGTGATGATATTGATTTATGTACTAAAAATAGAATCAAATAAATAAACAAATAGGAAGGAGTTTAAGACCATGACAGTATGAGACGCCGAAAGAGTCTTTTCTTCACACAGGGAATCGCTAGCGCCTCCGTCAGACAAAAGTGTTCAAACTTAACAAACCTTGTACTCATTAGATGATAGTTGGAGGAGATGCGCACAAAGCCCTGGACCTGGGTGTCGTGCTTGTTAGTACTCACCAGTCAGCCAGCAAGGCGTATCTGCAACCACCTTGAAGGGACTCATGTCCCTTTTAAGATTCGAACCCGTGTCACCCAGTGCTGCAGTCAGAGACATTACCATCACTGAGCTATTCGGGCTGGCTCGCGATTGACCTCCTGTAGTAGGACTGTATTGTATACTTTGATTGGACACTAATAAAACTGGTATCATGTGTCTGCTTGTTTGTTTGGTGTAGACTGAATTCTATCAGTCAATTTATTGACAACAAAAAAACACCTTGTACTATTTGGTCTTACTCTATAGACGTAAAATTTAAAAGAGAATTTCGGTGGAACAATTTAACCAGAGTTCACGATATCCTCAAGTGGAATTGAAATATTTCTCTGGTAATCCATTTCCATCCAAAAGTTTTCATAAAAATTCTTAAGGCAAGACTTAACATCATACAATGGGAGAGGTTTGACAGAGGTTACTTCCTTTACTTATCCAGCCAGGAAGCATGTGGTTTCAACCAAAGGTAGACGGGATGTATGAAGATGTCAAAGCCAACCAAGCAGAATCGGAAAGACATGGCACACCTTGATTAACTTGAAAGCAGTTCAGCAAATCTTCTGCTCTCACTCACTCAACATAAACAACAAGATTCGGATTCTATTCAACACAAATGTGAAGTCGGTCAGTCAGTTCGTCTATATGGGTGAGAAACTCGGCCAGCATGTCATGAAAGAGATTTTCAACAAGTTACAGACTTTTATCAACAGCTGCCACCTTCGCTGGCTGGCTCCATTATTATTATTATTATTATTATTATTATTATTATTATTATTATTATATCCTTTAATTCCTAGAGGAACATAGGGCTTCAGCTGCGCGTCTCCATTGCCTTCGGTTTTCTGTCAACTTTTTCACCCCGCTCCAAATCTGCCCACATGCTTTCATCTCCTCTTCACATGACTTCCTCCTCCATGTCACCCTTGCACTGACCACCAACTCGCCGCTTCCCACTCCATCGAGTCCCACTCGAGCAATGGCTTGTCTAGTGATGTCACTTGATGGTTTCCTCAGAGTATGGCCAGCCAATCCATCTTCATTTCTTCCTGCCTATTTGTTACATGCCTCCAAAGCCTCAGGATGGTCGGGGGTGGGTGTCTTGCGCTGCGGGTTGGCCACCCCTCCGTACACCTCTTGAAATGCTCCCATATGACCGGGCGTCTTACATAGCCTCTCCTGAGGAAGTCCTACTCACTGCCTTCACGTGGCGGAGGTGTTTATTTCACCGAAGTGAGAGGGCAAAAGCAGATGCCCGGCGCTCTTCACCGGGTTGACTGTCTATTGGATGACAGTCTAGGGGAGATGGCTAAACCTTGATTCCAAACCTCCAACGACTGGCGTATGAAGCTCACCGGAGCTCACCGGCAGACGTATGGACAAAGGGCTTATTGGATGCCCTGGATGTCTGGCCCCATTCAAAAAGGCGTATGAACTGGACTCCGGTCACCGGCTGCCAATGGATAGTGGACTCCCTACTCCACTCCTACTGTCTTGTAGGTCACACTTGGTTGTGTAAAGGCTAGAGCTGCACTCTCGAACAAAAGGCCGAGTGATGCTGGGGACATCACTCGTACCCAATTCCCATGAAACTTCATCAACTCTCTTACAAACATTCGAGATGTTCATGAAGCCGGTTCATCCTCCCGTAGGAGATAGCCGAAGTAAAGAAGAAGAAGATTTGTTACATAATCGGTTCCTGCTGTGTTGGCTTGCTCATTGCCAGAGATCCCTGTTGCTGATCTTTTCTGGACATCTGATCTTAAGCGGAGACAACTGTCAATGAAGGTCTGTAGTTTGTTTGAGATGCTCTTTATGACGCGCAGTGCAAGTCTCTGATCCACATGGTAAGTAGCACTGACTTCACATTGGAGTTGAAAATCCGTATCTTATTTTTGATGTTGAGTGCTGTTGACCTCCATACTGGAGATCAAATGGCCAACCAACCAGAAAGAATTATCAACAAGAAACTCCGGCTGGGAGAAAACCAGCCCAGTGCCGACTGCTCAACAAATATGTAGGAAAAAAATGGAGATAGATCGACATACACTGAGGAGGCCATCGAGTGACAACGCGCACAATGCAGGCCGTCGCTCGAGTGGAATCCCAATGGGAAGCGACGAGTGGGTCGTCTGTTCGAGGATGACATGGAGGAGATCGTGGTGAGGAGGAGGAGGAGATGAGATATTATGGACGATTGTGGCTCCAGCTGAAGAGGACAGCCAAAAATAGAACAAAGTGGGGATGTGTTGTTGAAGCCCTATGTTCCACTCGGAACCCAACGCAATAATAATAATAATAATAACAATAATGCATCATTATTTCACAACAAAAAAGGATAGAAAATAACCACGGAAATAAATACATACTTGACGACTTGGATATATTTTTGCTATTAATGCATCAAAATTTGGATCTCTTCTCAAGGATCTTTTAGAGACTAACTTTTTACGACATGTTGGACATTCTTTATTACCACTACGCAGTGCTGTTATAATACATTCAGAACAAAAACGATGCAGGCATTCTTTTGTTGTCATAGTAACTTTTAATATATCTAAGCATATTGGACACATTAATTCACTTTTTAAACTTCTTGGACTAACAGCAATCACTGTACCATCAGTAATAGGTTCTTGTGGTTTACGATGTAGTTCATATAAGGTAAGCTCCCAATTTTTAGATGATGCATTCTCTGTACTCATTTCTAAAATTATACAAAATAAGAATAGAAATGATGATAGTGTAAATAATTTAATTCGTAGTAGTAAAAAAAATGGACGTACTAATTATGTCATACACTTTCAAAGACACCGTTTCTTTTCTTAAACAGTTGACCATACTACTAATATGGCAAAAATATACATTCAGATATCTATAAAACACAATAATTGAGCAAAGAATATCCTTTTCAACTGGCCCTATTCAGGTAGGGGGTTCCCACTGGAACCCCTGTGGGAAGTCGTGACCAGTAGGGTGCAGCAGGTCGGCCGTGAGGACAAATACTTGCCGAAGACACTGGCTAGCGGTTGCGCTATATCGTGAATTGGCAGAAGCTAGAATTCATGGGCCATTGGATCGGGTCCCAGTGGCTAATGGTCTACGAGCTAGCTCGCCTTATAACCAGAAGGTCCCGGGTTCGAAACTAATCAGGTGAGTACACTCTGTGAAGTGTCCCAAACTACGACGAAACAGCTGCCCAGTACTCCCAGGTTTTCCAATGGTTCTCTAACTAATGTCAGCTCATGATGAAATCCTGTAACCAATCAACCAAATCCCTACAAACCAATAATTGAATATCCTTTTCGATAAACTCCTCGTCTGGCTCTACAATTATATATATATATATATATATATATAGAATATTCTAGATTAGTAGTCAATAACAATATTAGTGTTTTCTAAATAATATCGATTTGTAGAGTAAGATCACAGTGGAATTACACTTCGTTAAAGATGCTTAAATTATAATCATCATAAAGATATAGTAGCAAATTGAATATCAACTAAAATTAGGAAAATTCCACAAAAATTCAGGATCATTCCTTGCTGCCGAATTACGCTGTGTCTTTAAAATCACCCACTCCCATTTTGCGTTCGGGAGTAAAAGATAAACTGCTTAACTTCCCCCTCTTCCATGTGTATCTACCAATTTAACTGCTCCTGTGGAGTGAGCCAGTTAGTTGCATAAGCCGTACACTTAGGCGTGTTTCTCGTGGGATTTCCGAACATCATATGCAAATTGGTTAAGTAAAGGACAAACAAAATCAGTTCACATGGCGCTATTCTATCTCATCTTGTGGATACAGAATACAAGATTGACGTTAACCATGATTTCAGGTCATTTACTGTATACCTACAAATCTCAATCTTGCATTAAGAGTTCGACTACTAAATATTGCTGAGGCTGGCTGTTGGGATCCCTATTAACAAGCCTAGTTTGTGCATCCAAAAGAAGTTAGTTCAGACGTTATCATTACCTTGGCCATCTAGGTTTGAATGATCCTCAATTTTTGTGGAATTTTCCTAATTTTAGTTGATATTCTATTTGCTACTATATCTTTATGATGATTATAATTTAAGCATCTTTAACGAAGTGTAATTCCACTGTGATCTTACTCTACAAATCGATAGTATTTAAAAAACACTAATATTGTTATTGACTACTATTCTAAAATATTCTATGTATATAAACATGCATATGTAATTGTAGAGCCAGACGAGGAATTTATCGAAAAGGATATTCTTTGCTCAATTATTTTGTGTTTCATACTACTAATAAGCAAATATTTCATTATGATAACTGACAGTGTGAAATTATTTAGACAGCTGAATTTCTCTAGTTCGTGTGAACTGCTTATCCCGTGAAAACAAGCAAACGTTATATCGATAAGCATTTTAGAGAGCAATATTTGATTGTGTCGCATACGTTAATATTCAATAATTTTAGGTGTACTTATTGAGGCAAAAGGAATAGTAATATGGAAGAAAAACAGAATTTTGTTGGATATGATTGGGAAATCACAAAGAATGAATGCATCTGCGCCAGTCATTGAGAAGGATTTTGAGTCATATCACTAGTTGTCTCCAGCAGTCAATGGTTCTTACCATCCTGAGGACTCCGACCAGTTAGGAAGTCTACATCTCCCTACGTGGCTTAAACTACATCCACAACAACCAAGCAGAGCACAGTTTGTGGTTTAATTTACGGAAAATTATGCTTAAAATTAAACTGCTGAAGACAAACAAGTTGAGCATGCAAGATCACCTTGAGTCACCGCATACTTTCTTCTAAGTGGATGAAACCGTTAAGTGAAAGAATCAACAGTAACACAAAACATGATGAAGGAATAATCCAAATCCAATGCGTCATACGACCGCAATGTCATTAAAAATTGGGCACGAATAATAATCTAGATGTGTAAAAGTGAACTTTATATTTACGAGCAGAAATAGTGACGAAATATGGTGGTTTTACGTAGAAACTCGTGAAACAGTAGTATTATCTGAACAATTTACTTGTAAAAGTAACGAAGTGCTATTGCGAGAAACAAACTAACTGCACACACAAAGGTCAAGTTAAACACAAAAAAATTAGTATCCCCCAACCACGTCGAACTACCTTATCTCTTGTCACATGAACGGCTAAATTACCCATACTTTACTGCTGTCTCTGGATTCTGTCACGAATCGTCCTTACAGTGTGATCCTTGCACACAAAACGAAGATACATTTAAATTGATAGATAATTGTCGGTAAGTGTGCAAATTTTTTATGCAGGGCTAAAACTAGTGATGAGCTCATTTTTCAAATCGCAAAAATCATATATATACACCTAATCGTACAAAAAAATAGTAAAATTTTGGTTAGTGGGCACATAATGGACAAGGCCAACAGGAACAAATAATACGCGAATTTCCAGGTACATGACATAATTCCCTCCATTTCGTCTAAAATATAACCAACATTTTACCGTTTCGACGACTAATTAACCAATATTTTCTTAAAATCTGACCAACAATTTATCAAAAATTTAGAAAACAAAAAGATTGAGCGAAGAAATATTTACTTTTCAATTAGATTCTCATCTCTGGCTCTACTCTAATATATATATATATATCACTTTAATTACAATACAACAGTTTGCCAATCAAGTGGCGATAAGTTTGTTAACAATAATTTAACAGTGTCAAAATGTCAGTGGGTTAATAATTAACGAATAAAATCAACTGTAATTAAAATGCTGTATATATTAGAGTAGAGACAGAGATGAGTACCTAATTTAAAAGTAAATATTTCTTCGGTCAATCTTTCTGTTTCCTAAATGTCTAAATGAGATTTTTTTTCTATATTATCAAAATTAACCGACATTCTCCCATTATCTCCAAATCGCACATATAAGGGCAAGAAACAGTGAAATAGTTCAAATTGATGGATTTGGGGCAGATAGCAACAGGGGTAAAATAATGGGATATTTCTGGTTAAATAACAGGCAAGAGACCACTACGAATAGGTAAATGGTGGGAATGGCAAAGTATTGGTTAGATAATGGTCACAATCGTGAAATTTCGGTCTAGTAAGAGTCAAGTTGGGAAGACGATTGAAACAGTAGAAGAATTTTACATAAAAAAATAATTCGTCAACTTTTTTTAATAAGGGCTGAACCCATTATTCAACCGACTTTACACATTTTTGTACGACTGAATGGGTATATATATATACATATAGCTGCGGTTGTAGATCCACACTAAACAGATGAAAATTAAACTTCAGATTTCTATTTAGAGAAGTCAACTTATGACAATCGTATACCATAAGCATAAGGTTACCTGAAGAATAAAGTTGTAACAGCCCACCTGTAGCTCAACCGTTGTGAGAAGCGGCTATCTTCAATGTTCAATGGCTGATATCGTGGCGACGGACTGATGCAGGACCCTTCACTTCTTCGTATTCTCCACTCGATACCAACGCCAAGTAGTATTTTTCAAGTTTATACTGAGGAACGAGACCCAACCAGTTACCTACTGTGGCTAGTGTGCAGCAGCATACAGGTTTTGTTCTATTACGTGACTGTTATATGCTGTGTTAAGTCACTGATCATCATACACACTGAGTAAGTCAATTTTTTTCAGGTGGCAATATGTGTGAGAATCCGATCTAATGGATCTGAAAATAACAGTAACAATTAAATTAGACATGTGTAAAAATTAAATTTGTAGAATCTCAGCGAAGTTGAAATGAGCAATTCCGTATCTTTCGGCAAAATGTTTCGGACTTCTTCAATTTCACTGAGACTTTACAAGCACAATTTTTACACGTGCCTACTTCTCACTTGGTGCCCAATTGTTTCGGAACTGTTCCATCATATCTTGATCCCAGCTCATATGAATAATATTAGTTAATTAAGTATCAATGAAAGGGTAATTTTTAGTGTTAGTTCACTTCAGTTTTCCGAATTTTTACTCCATTTTCTGATTGGCTAAAGTGGTTCATCTTCCGTTTCACAGACTCCAGTATTCAGAAGAAACTCAAAGCATTGGAGGTGCTAACTGTTACACGATTTTTGGAGGCACTTAGCAGACGGATGACAACGTGAGAGCAAACTCTAGATAATGCTGTTTGATGAGGCTTCCGCGGTTTTACGAGAGGACTGCCACTGTAACTTGAGGAAACACTATCTGAGATAGTTCGGTCACTATTAGATGAAGTGATATCAGCTGAGTCCCGAGTCTATGGTGACGAAACATGTGAAAACCTCAGTTCTCACAATCGCTTATGTGAACTAGATGTATAAGGATGCTGTTACATCCTTTCAGGTCCTTCTATGAACCCTTCCCAAAGAAGCGAAAACATTTTTTGCTCGTCATCATCATCAACTATTACTTCAATATGAATTTTTGTTTGGCAAATGAGAAGTCACACTAGAATACGTAGTTTCTGTGTAGTACTGCATTAGGGCAGCGAACTCACTGACAGGCCTCCCATGTTGATTGAAATAATATCATTTTGGTTGAAGCTTGAAGTGTTCATACGTAGTTGCAGTAATAGTTATAATACAGTATTCCCGTGACTTCAAGCACACCAGTTTTAATGACACGGATAGGTCGTTACATAAAATACATAAATCCAGTGTATGGGGGGTAACATAGACACTTTTTTCAACACTACAATCAGCTGGAACAGTTTGCTAACCAACTGCTAGATGTAATTTACAAGTAGTGCTTTCATATCAACAAAATAACCCAGGTATGCGGGAAATATATTACAAACACTTGGCGAAAGGGGTTGAATCCAAGTTTCCTACATACTTTTGTATTGTAGGACTTTGCATCAATACTGATGAGGGCGTCAAGTGAGCGACTAGAAAGGCAGTACAGGCCTTCATCACTGTTAAATCATTGTGGAAATCAACTGCACTCAAAACCGGGAGCAAGAGTTCGAGTCTCAGTTTGAATGTGCATTCATTTCCTTGACGTCGTCAGAGACTTAGGGCTCATATCATAAGCAGTCCAATACAGACTTTCATTAACGGTTGTTCCAATGCCTATGGTAGTACAGATGGCCAGGGATGATTGGCGATAAGAAAATGTGATAGAGAACCAGCCAGTCACTTGACACACGTGCAGAAGAAGTGGAGATGGATTGAACGCGCTCCGAGGAAACCGTTAATGGATATCACACTTCAGGTCCTTGAAAGCAGTGCGAATGGAAAAGGACGTGTCGAGCCCCTGCGGTAGACACGGAGGAAAAGGTGTGAAGGGGAAACCAAATATTGTAGGCAGTCGTTGTCCTGGCCAAACAGGAGACTGTGGGAAAGGAGGGAATTAGAGATGATTTGCCGTGCCACTGTACTCCACTCGGAACACTGTGTGATTTATCATAATAAAATCTCATCCATAATGGAGTTATACGCTACCAGTGCCCAAGTTTTATACTTATATCAACCCAAGGAAATGTTAATAATACAACCATGCACCCTATTCTTGAAGTGACAGTTTAATTATGTCAGGTGTAACTTTAATATATATTTGTTTTCTTATGCCAGCGACGGGGATGTAAGCTTACATCAGCAAGAAACATGTCTTTAACGTATGGCCATAACCGTGGGTGTATTCGTACCTTATATATTTAATGACCCTAATATGTGGTGTGTTGCAGAAGCAAATAGTACATCCTCATTGTTTTTGTAGTCACTAAAGTGTAACAGTTTGTTTAGAGGGTGTCTGAATCATGCAACCGAGACACAGATTCTGATTTTTTGGGTATAATGTTCCATATCTTAGAATACAAGATTGTGAAGAAGTCTGCACGCAGAGATATTTTAAAAGCTTCTTTCGCTACTGAGCATGTTTAAGGCAGTATAATCCTTCCAGTAAGGAATTTATGTCCCATTTTCTGAGAATGGCACATTGTGCAGGAACTTAGAGAAGAATACTAGATCTATGCTTAGTCGTCTCATCCACGTGGGTTAAGATTCAGAGACATACGCCTCTAGGTGTAGCGCGATCATATTCATATCCAAGCAGCTTGAACGTGAAATATGGTTGGACACTTTTTATCTTCAGCTTATTACATTATCGAACACCGCTGGGAACCAATTGGCATTACTCTCATAGCAGTTTTACACACGTTTCGTATGATGCTGCTTTGGCTTCATGGATGTAAAAATTTCTGAGCGGGTATATTTGAACGAAGCAGTTTTAATTTAGTGTAACTTTAACAGGGAGGACCGTATTCTGAAAACATCGTTGGTCATGTGAAAAACAAGTGCAGATGTTACTTACGCAATGCGAAGAGAGGGAAACCCAGGGAGTTACATAAAACTATATCAAAAGTGATTAGCCTAGTCTCAGAAGTCACAGACCGAAGGATAGCTATTTGTGACTTGATTTTTAGGAATAATTAAGGCCATCCCAATAATGGGTCACCTATTCCTCAGGGATTCAGCTTATTTGCCGACAGCAAACGGTCAACAGAGTCAAACGCCTTAGAGACGTCAAGGTAAAAGAGAAGTACTGCTTGTCATATGTCCCGTCTGCTGGTTACTGAGTTAGAGAAATCAAGATCGTACATGGTCGTGCATTTATGAAAATACAATGGTTTACCGTCAGTCCCAAAACTACTACAGCTCTTAGGTGTGCTGATTCTTTGGTCGAATTTGGCGTATATGATCTTAATGATATTAATTTTTCTCGGCGTGGGAAGAGATGGAAGTTGCTTCTTATTAATAGAGTGCATACCAAGAAATCCGACTGTGGTCTTACGGTAGTTAGCAGCAAATATCTTCTTGAATAATTCACACATGCTACGTAGTCACTATATGGGTAACCTCTGTCGACTAGGGGGAAACACTATGGTTTGTGTAATCAATCGCTTCTTTAGGATTTCTGTGAGATCATACTCCCTAATAGGGCTAGCTAGTGCTGTGTTCTCTATTCCTCACATGCATATTACGGGTTTGTGATTTTGATGCTGATGGCGTTAAGAAGTGACCCCGATATACTGTATTCAAGTTGGCTGAAGAATTTTGTCGAAAGTTTTCTCTTTGGACCCCACATCAGGAGACTTTCAGCGTTAGCTGTGTAACCGCAGCGTCTTAGCATGTCTTTGAGTTTTGTTAGACGCTTTAAGCTCTCTGGGGTTGTCAGTTATAAGCATTCCCACATTCAGAGGATATTAGCGCTGATGTTATGAGGGCCTGGTCTGCCTCACCACAGTTCCTATGTTATTTTTCGTACGGCAGAGGTGTTAGCTGTACTGTTGCTGAAGAAAAAATGAAGTGCACACAGCACTGTTTCTTGGTCGGTACTCGAAAACCTAAAACCCACTAACATTGAGAAGGGACTTATATTGTGTTCAATACGTTATTACTCATTGTAGGGATAATGACAGTCCGTTTACGGTCAAAAATGTCCTTTGTGCCGAAGACTTGTCGTATTTAGCTGGACCTGTTAGTAAGTCCAGTTGATTTAGAGTAGACTGAAGTCTCCACGTTGAATCTCATACCCCTATGGAAGGTTAAGCATCTGCCCCAGTGCACTAATAAGTTAGGTGTCGTTGTCACTAAAGGTTCAATGGTGCTCTATGAATTCATCCAATTGGTGTTGTAGCTTTTTTAAAGTGTTTATTGATCCATAGCGTGCGATGGATGCTGTTGAGTTCCCCGTTTTAGAGTCGTAATAGTGTGTTCAGGAAGTAGATAAGATAGCCTCCTACCTTATTACTCTTCTAGTCACATCGAAAATGTGTGTACTCATCGATGCTTGTCTCTTTACTTGGTATATCAAAGTGAGAGCAAGTTTCACCATACATGTGTGGGTGCCCCAAACTTCTATAGTTAGTTTGGGATAAATCTTGCATTTACAAGAATTAGGTAAGCTGTGATCTGAAATATTTTTCAAGCATTTCGGCTCATCGATCGGGCCTGAGTGTGATTCAGCATCTGATGGATGTACAAGACACGACGACCTCATTAAAGGAAGTGTCCTTGCGCTATTCACCTACGTCTACCAGTTTTTGCCGGGTCCCTTCGGTAAACTTGGAGGTTTGTAGCACTGGATTTGCTATAGAGCAAGGTTGGAGATACTGGTGGGCAGTTTCATCTGGCCTATATTTTTACGAGCATCAGATGTACTATGTGTGGGTGCGTTGGTCTTTTTTTCTTCCCAAGAGGGAGCCAACGCAAGTGATTCGGGTTGAGAGGGACTAATATTCCCACTAGCTGGCCATTAAACGGTGACAGGGACGCACCAGATAAAAATTGCTGATGCTTTGGAATGCCCACAGCCCTTCATTATACTCATTGTTTAAGTACAGTGGCTTCGTTCTAAAATGATTCTCGCTGTGTTTACTGCTACGTTGTGGATTATTTCCCAACAGACTTGCGTCGTAAAACCTGTCAAGGATTTTTCTCACGCTACATCTTGAAGACCCCTGCTTCTTGGTGACTGGGTTCGGATTGCTGTCACCTGTATGCTTCGGGGTGGTGTAAATATGATATCGAATATTAGCGTGAACTATAATGTGACTTGATTTAATATGCGAAATTAGGCTGATATTTGAACAAAGCAAGAACTACAGTTTTAGCAGAATAATGTGGTACCATCATTTATTTCGTTGGCTTCTCATCAGCTGCTTACAGCCTAAATAAATTATGAGGTTTAAGTACAGACATGTTTTAACATACTTGCAAATTTTACATGTTGTCAGTTGACAGAAAATTCCACAATTTGTAAACAGTGCTCAGAAGTTTGCGCTTATATAGTTTTCACACAGGCAGTTCAGGTTAAAACAAAATAAATGTATGCAGAAAATGGTAAGAGAGTTACGTAATAAAGATGAGATATGCGTTAGATGCATAGTGACTAGTAAGTTAGGTAACAATGAACTGAGTTGAGCTCTAATCATAGAAACAAGAGACAAACAAAATTACAGATTATAGAAAGGGAGGGTGAGAATAGAGACAAAGATTACGTAATCAGATGAGAGAAAAAAAGCATCCAGTTACCAAGGCAAGGAAAGACTAATAACTGCTTCTTTCTGAACACATAGATCAGGTTTCAAGCGTTTGATAGAAATCGCTTCAGCAAACTTAAGGAGAATTGAGCTCTTTTGCCTATTGATAATTTTGAACGACTTTTCGACGTCCACCTCATGACCCGTGTCGAGGAGATGCCTGGCGATGGCACTGTTTAGAGCATTTGTTCCCTTTAGACGTAAGCTTTTTGGTACGTGTTCAGAAAATCGTAGATATGCCCTTCTTTCTGTTCTTCCAATGTAACTGCTCCCGCAGATACACGTAAATTTGTATATACAGTTGGAGGTAACATGAGAAGGATATCTATCGATTTTTGATTGCACCAAAGAGCAAGTTGTTCGATAGATGGGAACGAGCTTGGCTGCAGGATAGGCTATGGCTAGTGATGTACTCAGCCTTCTGTTGATCATCGCTGCAATGTTTTCACCTTTATAGTCAAGCTGAACGTAGACTGGCTTTTTACCCACT